TCTCCTTTTGGGGTGATGGAAATGTTTTGGGATCAGACAGCGGGGATAGTGTACCACGATAAACTAAAAGCCACTGGACTTACACTTTAAAATAATGACATTTATGTTAGGTGAATTATATGCCAATAATTTTTTAAATGCAATAAGTAAATACATAGTAAACGATGGGAAATACTCCCCTCCCCTACACAGAGCTGCTTGCCCCGCCTTAGCACTGTGCACACCCCCTGCAGTTCTTATCTTTTCATTGTGGTTTCCCGTGGACTGCTCTGTCTCCCAGGGCCCAGACAATAGCATGGTGAAAGTGTCTGCGCTGGCTCCTCTCTGCAGCCCCAGCTCCTGGCGACAGCGGCAGGTGCATGGCCCAAGCGCTCCTGCTCTGCCCATAAAGCTATGTCATTGCGCCCCATGCGTGCCACTGGGGCCTGGAACTGCGGGGCACTAGCCTTGCATTTTCCCCCACAGCAAGGGCTTCCTCCTGTCTCCAATCTGCCCAAGCCCATCTCCTGCTGCCTCCAGGACCCTGTTTGATGCTGAGAGGGAAGAGGCCACAGCCACCAAGCATCTGGCCCCTTTCACTTAGTAATGAGGAAAGCTAGGTCCAGACAGGGAGGGACACTTATTGTCCTGCAGCAAGGTGTGGCAGAGCTGGACCAGGAGCTCAGGGGCCCTGTGCCCTTCTTGATGATGGCAAGTTGGAGGACAGGCATGCAGGGCTAGGCAAGCACTGAGGGCTCTTGCACTTTCTTATACCAGGCAGGTGACAGCCTGGAACATGACAATGTGGAGGGCCAGAAGGACAATGAGATCAGAGAGGACTGGAGTCAGGCAGGAAAGGCCTCAGCGCTGTTCTCATCACAATTCCTGACTTTATCATTGCTTAGTTGTGGGAGACGGTTGTTACCCCAAAACCGCAGCACCAAACCCACTTGTTTCCCCTTATATAAGCCTCTCTCCCAGTGCCTGTCTCTGCAGTCATGTCCCCTTCTCTCCCTCCAGGTCCCCAGAATGAGGTGCTCCCCTGTCAGGATGAGGCTGGGCCCTGAGGTGAACTGGGAACCACTGCTGCAGCCACCCCTCCCTCCAGCTGCCCTGAGGTCCTGCCCAGGTCCTCTCCCAAGGCTCTGCACCCACACCTTTGCAGAGCACCTGCTGAGTGCCAGGTCCAAAGGAGACAGCAAAACCAGCATAGGCCCTGCCCTGAGGGAGGTCTCGGTCTGTAGAGAGCCAACAAGCCCACAAATTAAGGTTCTCATTACAACCACCATGACTGGGTCTGCAAAGAGCCAGGGAGTGAGGGAGCCCTGACCTAGCCTGGGCGCTCAGAGAAGTTTCTCTGAGGATGTGAGCCCTGAGGGTAGAGGGCAGCAGCTCCTAGCTTGTCTGGAGTGACCCTTCTGGGAGTGACTCCGGGACACAGCCAGACCAAGAGCCCAGGGGGGTTGAGTATGGTATGTGTGTGTTGCATGTTGTGTATATGTGTGTTGTGTGTACATTGTATAGTTGTGTGTATGTATGTTTTGTGTGTATAGGTGTGTTGTGTTGCATTGTATTGTTGCATGTATGAGTTGCGTGTATACACGTGTTGTGTGCTCTGAGTTGTGTGGTATGTGCCGTGGGTGCAGGTGTGTGTCACACGGTCCAGTGGGTCAGCAGGAACAACTCCCTTCCTGTCCTTCCCCCACAGGGGAAGTGGATTTGCTGAGCAGCTAGTGAGGCGCCAAGGTGGCCTGGCCTTCCCGCCCAGAGCAGAATGAGGAAGGGGCCCCTGTTCGTGGCGCCGTGGGCTGGGAAACACTGCCCACACTCCTGCCACCACAGGACATTCGGTGTTGGTTTCTTCATTTGATGGCACGTGCCTAGGAGAGGAGCCGGAAGTGAGCTGCGTCTGTGTGACGCTTGGCACAGGGACAGCCCTCACGCTGCAGGTGCACAGCATTCTGGAAACACAGAAGGAAACACCCTTTTGTAGTGGTCCCCCTTCAGAATCCTTCAGTGGCCCTCAGGGAGTCGGTCCTGATCTTACTCATTGGTGTGGAAGGCCTCGGGGGTCTGCTTGGATCTACTCTGTCCCTTCTGTGCTGGTCTCAGCCCTTGGCTCCCTCCCCGTGCCCTCCTCTACCCTCCACACACCTGCACATCCCAGCTTCTCTCCCTCCCTGCCCCAACCAGCACACTCAGCCTGGCCGCCAGGGCCCGCCCACCCTCATGCTCCTTCATTCATTATATACCACCTCCAGGGGGCGTCCCCATCCCAGGACCCCCAAGGGCAGGGCCTTGGCCTCCTTTGGGTCCCTATTTCTGTAGTGCCCAGCAGGGAATATGGTAGATGCCCGGGATGACTCTTGTGATTGCTGAATTCAGATGATTTCACATCAAAATGCCTCAGAAAGGCTTGATGCCTGTGGTTCAAGCTGCTAAGGCGCCAGCCACATACACCTGAGCTGGCGGGATAGATAGAATCCAGCCCGGGCTGCCAAACAACAATGACAGCTGCAACCAAAAAACAGCCAGGCGTTCTGGCAGGCGCCGGTGGTCTCAGCTACTTGGGATGCGGAGGCAGGAGAATCTCTTGAACCCAGGAGTTGGAGGTTGCTGTGAGCTGTGATGCCACAGCACTATACCC